TCCATACACATGAATGAATGCAGGCAGTAGGCAGCTTGTACTTTGTTTAAAGGGACCCAAAAATGAAAATTCGGTTATCATTTTGGGTACTTCCAAACCTGCATGGTTTTGAAGAATGCACTAGTAGCTAATTTCAATTACATCCATTGCATTTACAATGGGCTTGGAATAAATGATGAAAAAAATTTCATTTTTGGATAAAACTTTTCCTTGCAGGTTCGTTTTTCTGAAGTAGTGTGTGTCAGTGCAACTGTAAGTGTGTGTGTGTGTGTGTGTGTGTGTGTACATGTGATGTTGATTATTGCAGAGAATCTTTCTTGTTCTGGTAGGGCAGCAGGTTCATGTTGTACTGGCTGAGCCACTGGCGTGAGATCTGATAAAAGAATCCTGGTGCATTCTGACACTGTGATGATGGCATCAGCTGACAAAGAAAAAGAAAAAAAGCTTTAGAGTTCAGTGAACCCACTTATTTTTATTTATATTTAATTCATTTCCTATGAATCAGTGATTCTCAAATATTTACTCATTCTCATGTCATTCAAAACCTGTATGACTTTCTGTATGACAAACCAGGTTTGCTACAAAATAAATAAAACAATACTGAGACATTTCTCAAAATACCTTCTTTTATATTCCATATTAGAAAAAAAAGTAATTAAGGGTTGGAAATACATGGGGCTAAGTAAATAATGAGAGTTTTCAATTTGGGGTGAACTATCCCTTTAAGGAGTGTATAAATCCTCCTTGGTCTATATCCTGCTGTACATCTTAAAAGTAAAACCTTAAAAATACAAATTAAATGTCACTGAAGTGGACAACAGAAACACTTCACCACAAATTAATATTACAAGTTCATTCACTGTTATGAGTTTGTTCATTAGTCGATTACATGAATAAATAAAAAAGTAGTAAAACAAATATATATACATACATGCATACATACATACATACATACATACACACACACACACACACACACACACACACACACACAAACACCTTGGTTTGAATAAGTGGTCCAGGAGGGTCTTCCAGATCTTCTAGTTCAAGATCTAAAAGTGTAGTGGTCTAAAAAACAAAACAAAAACAAGTTTCTTAATTTTAATAGAACCACAAAAGTAGAACATATATCAGCACACCTGTGACCCCAACAAGCCATATGAGGTGACAATGTCTGTAGCTCAAAAGGTGTGCCAATGTGCCAAATTGTAATACTCAGTCTGTACTCACCTGTGAGTCAGCGCTTGCGTCAGGCTGTCTGAGCTGGAGGGTTTTGAGCAGTCCTTTATGGGAGTGTAGTTTGGGTTTGGGACCTGACAGTCTGAGAATTTTGGACCCAGACTGTAGATGACACCAGAAATTTGCAGCTTCACTAATGGGAAAGAGAGAGAAGGAGAGAAACTTTTGACAATGATGGACACTCCATTGACACTCCATCAATTAAAACGGAATTGTGCACAGTTTTTGAATAATAAACCACAACATTTTAATGTGCAAATTTGTTTGAGCACATTGCAATCAGGGAAAATATTGACACATACTGGAGATTTCAGTCTTTCCCTGCCCTGTTCAGAGTCAATGATGAATAGGAGTTACTAAGCTAAAGAAAAAGGGAAAATGTGAATGTTTTTTATTTTTATTATTAGTTATTTTAAATGTCTATTTTTTATTCATTTTTATTTCTTAGTTTCTTGTTATTAGTTATTTTTATGTTTTATTTCAGTTATTGTTAACTCTGCTAATCAATTAAAAATATATATTTTTCCTACAACTTAAAGGGTTAGTTCACCCAAAAATGAAAATTCTGTCATTAATTACTCACCCTCGTGTTGTTCCAAACCCGTAAGACCTTCGTTCATCTTCGGAACACAATTTAAGATATTTTTGATCAAATCTGAGGGCTCTCTGACCCTCCCATAGACAGCAAGGTAACTACCATGTTCAAGGTCCAGAAAAGTACCAAGATGATCGACAAAGTAGTCCGTGTGACATCAGTGGTTCAACTGTAAAGTTACGAAGCTACGAGAATACTGTAGAATAGCGTGTGGCGGCGCTGACCCAGATCCGGCGTAATGACGTCATCACGCCGGATCTGGGTCAGTGCCGGCGCCGCCACACACACGCGTCATGATACTGTCGTAAACGCGCATCCACAAGTGCCACAGTAGAGACGAAAATGTGGAATAAATTCATTATTTTTGTTTTCTTTGCGCAAAACAGTATTCTCGTAGCTTCGTAACTTTACAGTTGAACCACTGATGTCACACGGACTACTTTGTCGATCATCTTGGTACTTTTCTGGACCTTGAACATGGTAGTTACCTTGCTGTCTATGGGAGGGTCAGAGAGCCCTCAGATTTGATCAAAAATATCTTAAATTGTGTTCCGAAGATGAACGAAGGTCTTACGGGTTTGGAACAACACGAGGGTGAGTAATTAATGACAGAATTTTCATTTTTGGGTGAACTAACCCTTTAAATACATCACCTTGAGTGTAAACATCTGTATGAATACTACTACTACTACTACTAAAAAATAACAATTAATAATTATTATTAAAAAAAAAGGTTTTATAATGCATTAACAAAACTAATTGACCTGGTTTTTTCTTTCTTTCTTTTTTTTTCTTTCTAAGAAATAATTATAATAATAATAATTCATTAGGGCAATTGTATGTATGAATTGTATTCATAATTGATTTTATGAAAAAAAAAAAAAAAGATTTACTAAGATGGCTGATCAATGAACCAGCTACTCCAGTAAGAATTTGGTTGACTATATGCAATGCATCTCACCACAACCAGGTTCATTATTTCATTATGAACAGTAGAAAAGCCATAGACTAATACCTTGATATTGCTGCAGAATGAGAGGGCTTGTCTAATATGCTCTGCTGTAGCAGTGACAATGTAGGGATTTCCATCATGACAGGATCTTTCTCTGCCCCCTCAACTTGAAAGCAGTCATTAAAAATAAACCAGGGATTTCCCTTATCGCCATTTTCAGTCTGTGAAACAACAGCATTACATTAAATTAAATTAAAACAGCATTAGACATAACAGTTCGAAAGTAGGTCACTTTTAGAGCAGTAAATGAATTTAGTAATGCAACCACAAGACAAAAACCAAATATGCAAAACAACATAACATACGTTTTCAGGAAACTCAAAAGTTCCTGCTTCTGCCACAGGTAGGGTTGATGATTCCTCTTTTCTGGTTTTGTCCTGGACTGCACCCCAGTCTGAAAACCCATTGCCATCTTGCTGGGGTTCTGTCCAGTCCGCAGAACTGAACGTGGACCAATCGTCAAACCCTTCACAACTTTGAAAACCATCTTCACCATAACGGTCCAACATACACTCCCCCATTACACACAGTAACGTAATCCAATTACACCCGAGAGTCTACTACTGTCCTGTCTACTGTGCATCTATTGGTTCTATCAAGCTATAGCAGGATCAGCAGGGTTACCGTGTCTATATCCCTATTAACCTAAATTCTGTTGTTGTCGTCGTCTTTGTAGCTACACTTTTGGCAGTTAGCAGTTTGTTCTCTGGTGTCCCACAGGAGGCAGGGAATTTCCATTGTGTTTCATAAGCAGGTTACATGACATATGCTTCCTTCCAAAGACATTTCCTCTGTTGCTTTACTTCAATTACCAGGAAGAGGACAGAGGAATCTGAAGAGAGGGAGAAACATTTCCCTGGTGTAAAATAGTTTATTTTACATAAACATTATATTTTATTTAGACTTTAACCCCTATAGAAAATGGCATATGAGATATTTGTACCTTGTAGTTACAGACAGGAAGGAAGGAAGGAATTGAAAAACAAGTAGACGAAAAGAAAACAATAAAGTAAAAAAACTATTTAGATATGCAATTTGTAGTTTGAATTTATATTCCTTGTCATCTACACCTGCTAAAAAGACCTTTTATATATTTTCTAACATTCCAATTTTACATAACCATCATTTTATTCATAACAATCTTTTATATCAGTAATAATATTCAGTAAAATTGTTAAAAATGTGTAAGATCATACATTACAAAAAGTTGTCTCTTGACACAAACATATAGGCCTTTTTTTTAACAAACAGGTATCGCAAATCTAAAGAAATGTACGTTGCTTTGCCTTTTCAACAATGTAGAGGTCATATTAACAGAAACCTGGATGTAAATATACCTTTTCACTTCATACATACTCTGGCCCGCAATAAACGTCGTGTTTAGACTTGTAAGCCAATAAAACGACAATATCCCACTTACCGTCATAAACAGACAGGTGCGATGAAACGCTGTTAACCTAAAACTGTTTTTCCACGTATTGCTTCCGCAGTTTTCTGTCGAAAAGCTGACGTGCCACGAGTGGGCGGAGCTAGCGGTAAGCGGCTGTGCGCACCTGTGCGTTTGACAACACGCCCAGCACGTGTCTAGAAGGTTACCGTCATAGTGCGAGACTCTCGCGAGATTCACAGCGACTTGAGTCTCACAGAAACAGAATGAACCATTAAGCACAAATTTCATTCATAAATGCACGTTAAATCGAAACTTTGTTTACTGAAGTACAACTGCAGTATTTATATTAGATACTCTTAATACAGGAAAGCTATGACTTTAGAAGTTTGAGCTTAGTACCATTTTTCAGATTTGTATATTATTACTTCCTAGTACTTTTTATTTTGTTACTTTCTTTTCTCTTATTTTCTTGTTCACTTTTTGTTTTACTTTTTGTATGCATAATTGTATGATCAATATTTGCAGTTGAGCTAAAGTGCATGTATAATGTTAATTTATAGTTTATTCAGTTAAAAAAAAAAAAAAAAAAATTACACAGTAATTTTATATATTGTGTGTCAATTATGTTGGTGTAATATAAATCTAGTAAAATCCCTTGGTGTATAGAGTATGTTAGATAATAATAATTAAAAAAAACACCTTAATCTCTGATCCCCATGTACACAAATACAAAAAGATACAAAAGTCGTGACAAGCACAAAAAATTATAGAAATTAAGAATCCCTTTATTACAGATAATGTTTAGTTCATTACAATTGTCAGACAGTTATTTAGGACAAAAATGCACAAACGTTAAGTATGGCCCGCATAGAACATCTAATGTCAGCCTAAAGCTCTCTATGTGTCAGCTAGTAAGCCCGTGACCAGAAAAATAGAGGGGATTCCTCTAAAATATAGTAAATTTTGCGTGGTTGGAGGAGATGACAGATGTCTTAGAGTTATTCCGCAAGTGCATTTGACAAGAAGAAGAGTCATTATTTTAGGGGTGGAAAACGGTCTCAGTAACTGCGACCAAACAGCGTGTAGAACTGCGCAGGCTCTTTGCCGCTGACGCACATCTGACCGGCCTGCAGTTTCTTCAAGGGCTCGAAGGGGATACACAGACTCTTGGCTCCCATTGAAGGTGCACCAGGCTCCAGGTCTTGATCCCTGAGGACACAAAAAAAGAACAGTGTTAATGGTAATCTCATCTAGTTAATCCTAGGGATATCTGTGTGAGTGTATTTTTGATATCTTCACAGCATTTAATATTATTGTTTCGATTGTTACGTATTCATTTTTTTTCTGTTCAGATATCGTGAGGTCAATGACCATTTTTATTCCATTAACAGCGATACTTTTTACACTAAGTGATAAAAAAAATAAAACACTAACAGTGCACAGAAAAAAGGATATAGTGCCAACTCAGAGCAAAAATTTGTCTAATTAGTTTTGCCTTTAGTAATGACAATATTAGTGCTTTAAAAGAAAATACAATATTTAATCATTTAAAATAAAATGTATTTATAAAAATTAGTGCTGTCAAACGATTAATCGCATCCAAAATAAGTTTTTGTTTACATAATGTGTGTGTACTGTGTATATTATATATGCATGCATGTATATTTAAGAAAAATGTTTTGTTTGTATATAATATATATATATATATACAGTGGCATATATATATATATATTTTTTTTTAAACCTTGTCGCTACAATACCATGCTTAACATTTTTTCCCCCTCACACAAGTTTAATTGGCTCAATATACATAGGAAGAGATCCCCATAGCAGGGATCTTCAAATTTGGGGGTCCTTTGGCATTGAAATATTTTTTAATATTTCAATGCCAAGGTAATGGAATACTGGCTATCTAGGAATATCAACCCAAAAGCATGGAGAAATGGACTAGTCTCTTACTTGGCTGTTGTCTTTTTAATCCAGTCCTCACACTCAATGCCTCCACAGAAGGGAATCTGCACAATCTGGGAGAATTTATATGAATTAGGCAAATTTCTGGTTTTGATGGGGAAAAAAAGTAACCAAAGAGCTCTGGATCCACATTGTTTACTTACTCTTCCCTGGTCCAGATCTTTCTGGAATTGCTCCATTGTATCAGCCACAACCATGTGTTTGTGCAAATCATCAGAGGCCCTGTGACAAGTTAAAAAATCATAAGTCATCCTGCATTTGATGGAAATGTCAGAACTCTAATGTGGTAGAAAGCAGGTGCTTGTACCGTTTAAAGAGGTTGTTTTGGATCTCTTCCAGAAGGTTTAGGATTTTCTTCTCAGCATAAGCCTCTGGCACAGTGAGCTTTTCTCCCGTGTCTCTTCTTACTGCTACAAACCGGCCCTGTTGTAAGTCCTTTGGCCCAACCTCCAACCTTATGGGCACACCCTGCATTCACACAACGCAAAGAAAGAAAAATGAAGTCAAGACATAAAGCCTTCGTGCATTAGTGTGTGATTATGCTGTGAGAGAGGACCTCCATACCTTCAGCTCCCAATGATTGAACTTCCAGCCAGGTGAGTAGTTATCACGCAGGTCTGTCTTGACTCTGATGTCGGCCTTCTGTAGTCTAGAAAGATATTTGGAGCACTGGGCCAACAGAAACTCCTTCTCTGCTTCTGGGAGAGTGGCTGTGATGCCACAAGGAATGATGACGACCTGCGAATCACAGTGTAAGTTTGGATACAATGCTACGATCCACTATAAACAAAAAGAAGAAATGATGGATCTCCAGCGCACCTGTAGACATGCTACTCTGGGTGGCAGCACCAGGCCCATGTTGTCTCCATGAACCATCGTCAGGACTCCGATGGTCCGCGTGGTGATGCCCCATGAGTTCTGGTAGGCTAGCTGCTTCTCACCTGGTTTCTTAGGGTCCTCAAAGACGATCTCAAACATCTTGGAGAAGTTCTGGCCCAGGTGATGAGATGTGGCACCCTGTGAGAGTGATTGGATTGTTTCAGATCTTACTGCTGTACTTTGATGGTGCTACAATACTTCAATGACTTATCCTGCAGGTACATTTTTAAATTTTCTGATTGTTTAGGGTGCTGTGGGTGGGTTCCAGGACATTGCTGTTGTGTTCTGATCTTTAGCATGTTTCACATCCCAAGACCTAAATATCTGTAATAGCAATAGTGAATCCTGTCTTAGCAAGAAAGAAAAAAAAAATTCTAACAAGTAATGATAAAATGATTGATACAATAAAAAAAAAAGTTAACATTTGTACAGTCACATACATAATCACTATGAATTCTTTTTCAGTCACTTTGGATAAAAAAAGTCTGTTAAATGAATAAAAGTAAGAGGTATATCTGACTCAGATATAAGTTCCACCGAGCTTCTTTTTCATTGTTTTTTCTACGTATGCTAGATGGACGACTTTGACCATTGCATTTGGGTCTCACGTGGTTTGCAGCGCCTCACATATATAAGTCTTTTTAAAGGGGTCATATGATGCGATTTCAATTTGCACACCACGCTTTTCAGAACGATGAGCTTTGTAAAAATCGACGCGTTTCAGAAAGGCGGGGCATAGAGGAGAAACAATAATGTACAGTATGTGGAAAATAATGTGTTTTTTGAACCTTAAACCGCATAAACACATTTCATTACACCAAATACACAAAATAATGATATTTTTAGCAACATCATATGACCCCTTTAATATACTGTATCCAGCTAAAAGAAGTCCGGCTCGAGACACATGCTCTAGGTATTGGCCTTTGAAATTCCAAAAAAAACAAAACAAATTCTTGTATGATGTGCAACTTATGTAAACAGTATGTTCTGTCTTAAGGGTTTAGTAAATAGATGGGAATATTTTTTATTATTTACTATTCATATTTTTAAACTAATTTGAAAAATGCTTGACTATACAACACAGTTTTAAATTATTATACATTTTATTATTATTTTAAACAGTACTTTTATACTTACATTTTTATTTTATTGGTAAACATTCAGGACATCAATAGCCAAAATGTATAAATAATGCTAAATGCATTAAAATAAATGAATAATTCATATTTGAATACATGTAAAAATGGCAGCTACATTTAGTTATAATATCAAATTGGAAGGTTTATGGCAATTCCCAGCTCTACTCTATTTCTTATTTTGAAGTGTACTCGTATAATTAAATTTAATTCAATTTTCAAAGCAGTTAAACAGACCAAACAAAGACTGTAAAATAAGACTATCTGGATGTTTTGCAAACCAAAGACTAACCTGAATAGCTCTGCCGCTTGCTGAGATGTAAGCCTCCACAGTGGTGGTGTAGTCTCCTCCTGCAAACTTCTCCTTCTCTGTTTTCTTGCCCTTGACCACAGGGATGGCCATCAGCTCCTGGTACACCCGAGCATACAGGTCCAGAATCTGCAGAACCTGCGCACATGACAGATAAGAGCGGGAGGGTCAGAAACATGGTACAAATTACTTCTGGATCTGCATGGAAATAGTAAGTTGTGAGTGAGGTGTGATAGATCACATCTAACCTCCTCTGCAGCTTCCTCTTTAGTGGCAAACGCTGTGTGTCCCTCCTGCCAAAGGAACTCTCTGGTCCTCAGGAAGGGCTGGGGGTGTTTGAACTCCCAACGCTAAGAAAAGCAAAAAGCAGAATGAAGACATGGGCCCTTAATTTAGATGTGTTTGCAAAAGTGTGCTACTGAGGCTAAAACTGACCACGACGTTGCACCACTGGTTGAGTTTGATTGGCAGGTCTCTGTGTGACTGAACCCACTTGGCATAGGCAGGATACATCACTGCATCAATGAATGAAGAAATTGAATTCATTAAATAGATAATAAAAAGATGATAATCCAGGCCATTTAAGATACAGCTGCAGTTGCTCACCTGTCTCACTAGTGGGACGCACAGCGATGGGCTCCGCCAGCTCTGTCTTTCCTGATCTTGTCACCCAAGCAACCTAAATACATTTTTCTCTGAGTTGTAGTTCTCTTTTCCACACATTGATAATTCCAAATATTACATTATATGATCCACCATAATGATCTCATTTCAATTATCCACTATAAAAAGTACGCATTTAATCAAATTATGCAAAAATAATAATATTGTGAAATAGTTAAAAACATTTTTTACATGTTTTAAAATGTAATTTATTCCTGTGATAAAGCTGAATATTCAAAAGCCATTACTCCAGTCTTTAGAATCACAAGATCCTTCAGAAATCATTCTAATATGCTGATTTAGTATTCAAGCAAAATATTTTTTTTTTTTATCAATGCTGAAAACAGTTGTGCAGCTTCATTTTTGTGAAAATGTGATACATTTACATTATAAATGTCTTCGCTGTAATTTTTAATCAATTTATTGCTGAATAATATTAAGTATATAAATATGTATCAAAAGTATCTCTAGCCTAGTGGCCTAGTGTTGCTCATATCCTTTCATTCCTTTATTTCCATCTCCTCACCTCTGGAGCAAAATCTGCAATGTGGGTCTTCTCTTTCTCCAGGGCAGCCTGAGAGACAAACATGGGGAAGTAGCAGTTCTCCACACCCAGCTTCTTGATCTCCCGGTCAAAGAATTCTTTGATAGCCTCCCAGATAGAGTAAGACCAGGGCCTCAACACGTAACAGCCACTGACGTCGTAATACTCGATCATCTCAGCCTTGGTGATCACCTGAAAACAGCAAAAATGATGATTTTTACACAGCTGAAAAACAAAAACATTTACAAAATCATGTGAACAAAGTGTACCTGCGAGTACCACTCAGCCAGGTTTTCCTCTTTCTTTGCCTCCAGTCCCAGCCTACATTTGAATAACACAGTAAGTGTATAAATGTACTGTCCCTGCTTGCAAACACCACATTTCCTTAATGCAAAACTGAAATGTTCATAAACACAGCTTACAGTCTGAAAAAGATATTCAGACACAACAGAGTGCATTTGGGGTTTAGTCTTGGAGGACAAAACCAGTTGTGGCAGTACTAAAACAACTGCAAAACTTTCTCAAGTCTCCATTCAAAGAGTTATCAACATCTTGTGGAACCACAAAGGGCATTTGACAGCTCAGTGCTGCGATTTTGCCACTCACCGTGTCTGTTTCTTTGGCCCCTGGCCATTTCCTGCTCCACTTGCTCCAGAGTCTTGAACTTGTTGAGGTTTCTCTCCTCCTTTCTGTTGCTTGTGTCCTCCTCCTCCTCCTCCTCCTCCTCCTCCCTGCTTCTCAGACTTGTTCTCTCGCTCCTTGCGGCTCTTGTCTTCTCCTCCTGTGTTCCCTGAGGATCCTGGAGTGGTCACAGGCTTGTACTCCTCACCAGTGAGGGCTTTATACTGACCCTTCAGTTCAAGCAGAGTCTTCACTGCTTTATCAACTTGCTCCTAAATACAGATTAAAATCACATGAGCACAAAAATAAGGCCAGATTAATAATTAAATATTGCAAACAAATGCAAACCAACCTTAGGAGCTTTCTCTGCTTTAAGCCGTCTCCCTTGCTCCCCCTGCTGGGCTATGTCTGCAAACAGTGCTTGAGCCTGAGGGGAGGAGCTGGATTGAGGCTGGGAGGAGCTAAATTGGGGTGGGGCAGGGCTAGATTGTACAGGGGCGTGGCCTGAAGATGGAGGCACACCTGCTTTGTATTCCTGTCCAGTTTGCTGCTTGTACTCGGCTTTAAGACTGAGCAACTCCTTCACAGCAGCATCTATCTGATCCTGTAAAAATATAAGCAATTGTTGAATACTATTTACAATCATTTTAAAATCAGATACTTCAAAATTCAGAGCAAAACTGAAATAAGTCAAAACCTTGGGTGCCTTTTCTGTTTTCAATTTCCTCACAAGTTCTCCCTGTTGAGAGATGCGATCATAAATAGCCTTAGGAGAGCTGTCAGAGGAGCCAGACACTGCATCAGGCTGAACTGGAGTCAATGGAGATGCACCAGCAGGGGGAACTCTGGGTTTGTAGTCCTGCCCTATCACCTGCTTATATTCTTCCTTCAGAGCCAAAAGCTGCTTCACTGCAGCATCAATCTGGTCCTGGGGAGAAAAAAAATTATGCTTCTTTATTTAGAAGTAAATTGCAAATTACACACCATGATTTCTGAAATCACCATAGCAATAAAGAAATTAAATACAATAATAGTAGTAGTAGTAGTAGTAATAATAATAATAATAATAATAATTTGTTTAAAATACATTATGCATTATATAAA